CCAGAGCACGCAGCCGGCGGCCTCCTGCCTTCTCACCCTCGCAGCCCTGCCTGGCCAGGGCGGCTCCCGGCTGTTTCTCTGCACTGAGGCACGTCGGAGACCAGCTCTTCCCCTCCGCCGAGACACGGGCCTCGCTCCGGCCCATGGCTTCGTTCGGGCAGGGCGGGGGCGGGCCCTTCCCCCCATGTCGAGGGAGCGGGAGGGGGGCTCGTGCTTCCACGCCGCCGGGGCTCCTCCTCCTCATCTCTTCCTTTGCCCGGCAGAGGCAGGCGACTTGTACATGTGGGGCTGGAACGAGTCCGGTCAGCTCGGGCTGCCTTCCAAGGGGGTGGCGGGAAGCCCCGTGGCTGCCAGGGCAGAGGACAAGCGCAGCAGCAGCAGCCGCAGCAGCACCCCACCCCGCGGTAAGCCTGCACCCAGCAAGCCTCAATGGGAAGTTTGGGGGGGGGGGGAGTGCTGTTGCCGCTTGGCTGAAAGGTGGTCTCTTCCTAGGGCCCCAGGCAGCGCACGAGAGCCCCCCAGCTGCCTTCATCTCCATCCAGGCCTTCCCCGCACTGCTGGACATGCCGGGAGGGGAAGACGTCGGCAAGGTCAGCTGTGGATCGCGCCACACGGCCGCCCTGACACGTAAGACACCGCTCTAGGGAACTGGTCCTCCCAAGGAAGAGCCCGGGCACAGGCGGGCAGGCCTGGCCCGCTGAACATGTCCCTGGGCCCTGCTGATGCCAGAGGGAAGAGCCAGTCTGGCTGGCTGAGAGTCCCCCATTCCTTCTCTCTTCCTGAGCTTAATCCAGGTTTGGTCCTTAATGCTTGGACTGTGCCTGTCTTTTAGGAACCGGAGAGCTCTACACCTGGGGCTGGGGAAAATCCCAAACTGAGCCAGCTTCTTCCTTTTTGATGGCAACAACCTTCTCCCACCCACCCACCCACGGAAGGGGCTGACAGCTCTTCTTATTTCTAGGCAAATATGGGCAGCTGGGCCACAGGGACACCACGGCCACTTTGGACAGGCCCAAGAAAGTCTGCAGCTTTGAGGCCTGGGGCCTTGGGGTGGCGGATGTTGTATGTGGCCCGTGGACCACCTTTGCCCTTGCTCTGCCCCTCTGACCCACAAAGGCAGGCAAGGCCCACTGTTCCTCCAGAGGAGCCCTCCGCCTGGACACCGGAAGATGACAGCAGCCCATGCGAGCTTCACATTCCTGCCAACAGGGGCCTTAATGGACGTGGAATCAGCCAGAAAACTGCTGTTTTGTTGAAAACCATTCTTGCTTTATTTTATGCAGAGTTAAGCTACAAAACATGTGTCTAATAATTCATTTTATTAATAAAGTCTTTACAGTTCATCTTTACAGTGGAGGTCCATAGCTTCAGCAAGCGCGGTGGGTGGGATTCCCACTTGGGGAGAGAAGAGGAAACAAAAAAGGAACAAAAGGACGCACTAATAAATAATGGGGGGAGGGGGGGGGGCTGTAGTGAACACAAAGTGCAAATCAGGCCATGATACTCCCTCCAGGAGGAGCCACCTCCCTCCCTCCCTCGAGTGGCTGCTGAGAGATGGCTCGGAGCTTCCTGGAGCCCATGCCGCCAGCCCTGCCCGTGTGACCTCGAGCAGGAAACCCTCTGCATCTTTATTATTTTATTTAAAACAAACAAACCAAAAAAACCTCCCAGAAAATTGGACGTGGCCGCTGCTCCCTGATCAGAGATCTGGCCGAGGGGTGGGGCCCAGCTGAGCGTGAGGTGGGGGCGGAGCTGCTTCTTGGGGGAGCAGAGGGGCCCGCCTCTTCCTTCCCCTTCAGCTCTCAGGAGTCACCGAAACCGTGGAGTTGAGGACGCGAGACCTGCTCTCAGATTTGGAAGCCTTTGAAAGTTCGTGCTGGAGGGAGAGAAGAAGGGTGCGCGTGACGTGGGGGCCCAGGGCAAAAGTGGGACCAGACCAAGGCCCCCTCAGCTGCGGAGTCTTCTTGTGAGCAGAAATCCTACTTTGTGAGATCTGCTGGCACTAAAGCTGTGAGCGGGTGATTTTGACCACTGCATAAATTAGTTTGCTCTGGAGCCCTCCTTCCTGAGCTGAGACAAAAATGGGTGAGCTGGAGGCTAAACAACTGTGAGTTAGCGCACGCTCAGCTTAGAGGGAACACTGAACCAGACAATGAAAACCACACCGCAAACCCCCCCCCCCCTACCCAGAGTGAGGAAGTTGGGCAACAACAAGCTCCTCCCTGAGCTGTGGCGCCACCTGTGGGAGTGCCGGGAGAGGGGGGAAGAGGAGGACGGAAGCCCCACCCACTGCTGCCCCAGGGGAGGGATGGGGCAGCGGAATGCCCAGGCCTGGGGGGGGGGGGGGGGGGCCGTTT